CTCCCGCTTAAGCATCTCCTCCTCTGGGACGCCTTCCCTGACTGGATGGGGCGAAGTCAGTGACTCCCTTTTCTGTGTTTTCCCAGCACCGTGCATGTGCCCTCCTGAAGCATTTATTACAGGGACTGTACTTTCCATATGTCAGACTTCCCCACTCAAGTGTGTACCTCTTAGGGGCAGGGACTGTGCCTTATCCATAACCGCATGTCCCACCGCTAGCTCAGGGCTTGCCTGAGTGCGTACCTGGGGACTCCATTAGAGTCCAAAGGAAGAAAAAAGACCAAATGTCAGGCGGGGTCAAGGAAGGCTTAACAGAGAATGTGGGATTTGAGCAACACTTTGTTAGAAGGCATTGGATTTTTTTCTTTTTTAATGTAAGGAAAGACGAGAGCATGGCAGGTCAAAACAGAAGAGAACAAGCAGGTGGAACAGGGAAAGCACAGACTATGTCCAAGAGACAGGAACTGGCTCTGTTTGGCGGGCCCCTACGGTTCAGGAAGGGTACAGGGAAGGGAGGCTGGGGCCAGGCTGGGAGGCAACCAACGCTAGGCTGAGGACTTGGTTCTCAAACTTGTTCCTAGGAACACAGGTGCTCCCTTATGATTCTAAAATATGACAACTTCCGGGTTTCCTTTAACTCCAAGGCAGGCAAGTTTGAGGACTGTTGTTACAAATAATTAATGAAATAATAATACAAACTATCATTTATTAAGTGATTATTATGTGCTTAGTACTATGCCAAATGTTCCACAAGGCTTTCTCTCATTGGACCTCATAACAGGTCTGTGAGGTAGACACAACTATGATTGCTATTTGCAGATAAGGAAACTGAGGTAAAGAGGGGTTCACTTGCCAAGCTTGCCAGCTGGAGGTGCTGGAAAGAGGAGCTGGGATTAGCTCACACTCAGGGTGTCTGAGAATGACACCCAAGCCCTCGCATGGTTACTAGGCTGTTCCTTTGCCTGCTTCCTGTGGGGTGTCTGGGGCTGAAGGAGAAGGGGGGCGTCACAAGGACAGCGAAGAAAGAGAAGCACCGTAGGATCTACAGGCGGTGTCTCCTCCAGACATCGGGGGGAGGGGGCACGGCCAGGGAGAGAATCAGACTCAGAGCTAGAGGAAGACGAAGACCCACCAATGGAATTGGGGTAGAATGCTCTGGAAAGCTGAGCTGGAAACCTTTCCTCGGCATGTGCACTTCTGCACGTGAATCACCTGCACCCAGGTGGACCTTACTGTTTAAGCCCTGGTCACGTTGCTGCCTTCCAGGGGACTCATGGGGACGTGTTGCTGGGGGCTGCCTGGGCAACGGCGGGGGAAGGGCCAGAATGACAGGGCAGTCACATGCCCAGGCAACGGGTCACAGGAAGCCTGCCCACAGCCTGGGCTGTGCCGCAGCTGCTACGGGCCATCACCATTTCCCAAGTAGTTATTGTGGCTACGACTGGAAAGGGGTCACAGTCACATGTCTAAGCTAAATGTAACATTGTTGGCCAGGGTTTGTGCCCCGGAATGCTGCCGTCTGGGCCCGGCCCAAGCTACAAGCAGAAGCGGCTTCGCAGTAAGAAAGAGTTTATTGTACTGTATTTACGCAGGACATTATTATGGTTTGCAAAATCCTGCACAATCTTTATCTCCTGGGGGTTAGACAACAACCCTGTGAGGTACTTGAGGAAACTGAGCCCCGGAGAAGTTAAGTGACTTATGCAACATCACACAGCAAGTCGATGGCAGAACTACACGCTGTCCTGAAAATCTTTGGGTTCCATGTTAGTTCAGGTGTTTGAGACTCACACTAACAAGAGTTTTTAACAAGTGATATGAACAAAGAAAGCAAGAGAGGACTCCAGAGGAGAAAAGAATAATATTTTCTCAATCACTGTGAATATGAAAGGTGTGGTAAAACACATTTCAAACACCTAACACTTTCCAGCTTGTCAAAGCCTTTCCACCTGTCCTACTTCTCAGTGCTTCTAAGGAGGCAGGTAGGGAAGTGAGTGCAGGTGATTCACAGAGCAACCGAGGCCCCAGGTCATGCAGCTGAGAAGAGGAAGAGCGCCCCCTGGAGTTTACTTCTGGTGCTGTCCTCCTCCCCTGACCCTAGGCCTGGAAGCATTTAATGCGGCCATGCAATGGAAAACGGTCACAGGGCTGTGGTTCCATTTGCTAGAAGTGATCTGTCCAAACCAGTGGCTCCCTGCCTGTCTGCCCTCCAGTTCTCGGATTCCGCCCGACGGCTGCCCCAGGCCGCCTGCCCATGGCAAGACAGCCGCCTGGCCCCCCACCCTGCACTCTCACTGTGCCAGGGCTCTGTGGCTTGGCCACGCATGCCAGGCCCACATGATACTCCTGGAATAGCTGTCCCTGTCAAACCGAGGCTACCGCACGGTCCCCTGGGATGACCCCTGGATGCCTCCATGTTGCAACGGCCTCCTCTGCCCTAACGTATTGATGGCTTCCCGGGGACATGTTTTCTCTGGTTCTACCTCCAGGTTCTGCCCTTTTACACTTTCTAATGCCTTAGGCCACATGCCTGATGGCGGAGCCAGACATCCTGCCTGGGAGCCAGAGCCTGAGGCCCAAGTGCCTAAGGACAGATCTCTGCATGGCAATTACCCCTCCTGGAACCGGTCTTGCCTGAATTCCCTCCAATGGGTTCCTCCCGCCTGCCTGGAAAGCCTGCTGCCTGGTGCCCAGCCCCAGGGTAGCCTCCCTGGAAGGGGGTCTGCCCCCGGGGAGGAGCCTCTTCTTCAGCTGCCCCACTGCCTCCCCTAGCTCCTGTGCCACACCGTTACTTTCCTGTCACAGCCTGAGAGGGCTAGGCACAACCCCCATGGTCATTGACATCAAAACAGATAAACAAATTGTGCACGTTCACAATGGGATAAACAGCAGTGCCAACAAAACAATACCAACCGCCCACACGCACATGTGAGGAAAGAATGTTGCAGAAGTCTACATACTTCATAACAGAGTTTTTTTAAAGCTCAAAAGCAAGAGAAACAAAACAGGATATTGTTTAGGGATGCATTCATGGGCACTATAAGTATTTTTAAAGCAAGGAAACGACAAACATGAAATTCAGGGTAACATGCCCCGGGGCGAGGGGGTGGGTGGAGAAATGGGAAGGGGAACCGCGCGGTCGCGGGACCTTGCGCTGGGCGGTCGGTTCAGGATGCTTATTTTGTTGTTCCACCTCATAGCGTACAGACACATTCACGTGTTCTTTTTTATATACAGCTGCTACAAGGTAATTTTAAAGATTCGATGGAGAGGGTCCCAGAGGTACCTCTTCTTATCGTCTTCCGATTCTGGTGTATCTGGTGCATCGGGTTGGTGTATCACGTGCCCCGCCCCACCTTTGCAGCCAAACGCCCTGGGAGAATGCTCTACCCTCCTTCCCTTTTCCTTCCCTCCCACACTCAGTCCACTACACCCTGACCCCTGTCCTGTCATTCACTGAAGGCAAGTCTCGCTGAGGTCAGTAAGCACAAGGTACAGCTTCTGTCTGGTCTTGCGTGACATTCCAGCAGCACTTGCCACACTGACCCCTGCTTGCTTCTTCTCCAAGCACGCCTCCCCTGGGATTTAGGGCACTTCCTCTCCTAATGTCCCTTCTGTATCTCAAGCCACATCTTCTTGGTCTCTTTTGTTGGGTTCCTCTCCTTCGACTGTCCCTGAGTTAAATGGCGGTACCTGTGGGGGCTTCTCAGGCCTCATCTTACTCTGCAGCCTCTCATGGCTTCGGTTGCCGTCTGAACACCAGTGAGTTCCCCATCTTTCTCTTCAGCCCAGTCTTTTCACTCCTGAACTCCAGGCCCAAATGTCCAATTGTCTACTCAAACTTTCCACTTGGATGTCACATAAGCACTTCAAAGCATGTTTAAGTCCAACTCCTGACCTTCCCCCGCCCCGGCAGCCTCGTCCCCTTCTAGTAGCTTCTACACATCCATCCATCCAGAGGCTAAGCCACATGCCACTCATTCTTGGTTTTCCCCTTCCCTGACTGCCACCGTCTCTCCACTGTCCTGCAGCCCCATCCAATGACCATGTCTAGCCACTCTAGCTCCTCAGTCACTCTCAGATCTACTGTCTCCGTCTCCACCAAGACCTTCATAATCCAAGCCAGTATCATCCTTTGTCTGTATGAAAACAGCCAGCTCACTAGTCACCTCCCTACCCTCAACCTTGCCTCAGTCCCTGCCCGCCCTGCACCCAGTTTGTTGTGGGTGACACGCAAACCCTAGTGCATCGGTCCCCTGCGAGCACCCCCCAGGGTCCCCACTGCCCTGGGCTCTCCATGACTCGGCCCCTACCTGCCTCTCCCACCTCATCTTTCCTCACCTGCCTCCACCCTCCAACCAGGCCGCACCTTTTCAGATCCTGAAACACTTCCGCTTCCCCCTCACCCCAGGACACCTCGTCCCCCGCAGCCCTGCTGCCTTGCCTGCTCCATCCAAGCCTTACTTCAGGTTCCAGTTCAACTGCCTTCTGGGAAGCCTTCCCAGACCACCCTCAGTCCCGCCCAGAAAACGTGAGGTGGTCCCGCCATTAGATGGGCCATTCTAGCACTTGTGATACTTTGTACTAATTACTTTTTTGATCATTTGTCTCCCACAATAGCAGGCCCTATGCCTCAGCCTGCAGGGACCTGACTCACTGTCTCAGCAGGACCTCGGACAGTGCCTGGCCCCCCACGCGGCCAGGGGCAAACACAGCCAGAAGAAAGAATGAATAAATGAGTGGCAGGCGCTGTGCTTTGCATACGTTATCTCATTTGATTCTGACAAGAATCCTTTAAGGGAGGTACTACTGGTCTCATTTTACAGCTGAGAAAAGGGAAGTAACTTACCCCAAATCCCAGAGCTATCAAATAGAAAGCAGCAAGTTGGACCCCATTTAACACCAAAACCCACACCAGCAACTCCCCCACCTCCCCTCCAGCCACCCCTCGTCCTACAGGAGGCCAAGGTGGAGAACTCGGCCGGGACTGGCGACGTTACCTGGAAGCACGTGGGCCCGGGCCTCCCCGCGGGGATGTCCGACTGGTAGAAAACCCTGAGCTCTGGAGTCAGGGCAATGACGGTCTTGATCACCAAGGAGATGATATCAGACCAGACCTTCTTGATGTCGACGCCTTTGGAAGACAGCCTACCAAGAACGCTTGAGAAAGTCCTTTTGCTGCCCGTGCTAGTGCTGTCCGAGTGGACAAAGTTACCACTGTGGATGTTCAGCGAGTAGTTGGTTAAGTGCATAAAGATGTGGTGCATGTTTTTGGGGGTGGGTTCCTGATACGGCTCTGTACAAAATCTAGAGAGTCCATCTTTGGCTATGTAAATCTCTAAGGGGTCTAAGGACTTCAGTAAGACATACAGGCGAATGTCGAACTTGAGCTTGTCGATGAGGAGAGGCTTGCAGATGTACTCCTGGACCACCGCCGGCCTGCGCTGCAGGGTCCCCGCCAGGCGGATGTCACTGGGGTCTTTAATGAGGTAGATTCCATCCCCCTGACAACCACCATCAGGTTTCACGATGAAAGTGGGCTTCCAGGAGGGGTTACCGTCTTTCACCATTCGAACCTGGGGGGAGAGAATAAGGGTCAGCAGGATGTCCTTTTCCTCTCTGGACTCCCAGGATAGAGCAGGACGTTGGCAAAGGTTTGGTGAATGAGCTACAAAATGAGTCCTGCCTGTGTGATACTCTCTGAGCACCTGCCAGGGAGGTAACACTGCACTAGGTACTGAGACGGTGGCCTGGGGCTGCCCTCAATCTCGTCCTCCAGAAGGGAGAGCGGGAGCGCAGTGGATTAGCAGTCAGGAGACCTGGGCTCGAATCCCAGATGTTTGCCGGTTATTAGCGATGACTCTGAACAAGACATGTAACTGATGGCAGTGACCATCTTGTGCTATTGGTGGGTGCCCGCTATGCGCCACCTACTATAGTAGGCGCTTTCCATAAGTTGTCTCCTCTAAGGAAATACGGTGGCTCTCTTTTATGATATAGAAAAGAGGACATGGTGCATCGGTTGTTAAGAGCGTGAGTGTGGTGTTCGGCTGCCTGGTCTCAAATCCTGGCCCTGCTACTTACTGTGTGACCTTGGGCAAGTGACTTAAGTTACCTGTAAGAGGAGAAAGACTGTTCTGAGGATGAATGAGGTAATAAATGCCAAGGGCTAAGCCCACGGGACGTGACCCGGGCAGCCATCAAGCCTAGCCGGGGCTGTCCTTCAAAGACGCAGTAACTCGCCAGCTAACAGAGGGGCGGCACTGGGATCGGAACCTAGATCCTGGACTCGAAGGCGCTCGTGCCTTCCTCGGTACTGCCATGTCTCGGGTTCCTCATCTTAAAAACGGGAATGTAAAACCAGCCCTTATGGGTCGCTGTAAAGAAGAAGTAAACTAAAATGTGCAAAGGGCCACGCACAATACCAAACACGGAGCTAGTGTGTGGGGAAATGCTAGTTTGATCATTTATAAGTCTTATTAGGTTCATCTAGAGGACCCAGCCACTCCTTCAGTCTGTTGAGATGTTTTTCAAACTGGATTCCGTCATCTATAATATTTGCTCTCTTCCCAGCTCCAGGTCAGCAGGATGCTCACATAATTATCCAGGACGCTTGGCCAGTCCAGACAGTCGGTCTGGAGCTCCGGGTCTGCATAATTCATACTCGCCCAGTGCCCCGGACCCTTGTCATATCCTTCATGTGGTCACGGGGCATGGACGGACTGAAGGCCAGGGAGAAGGTTTTCACAGGGGAGGGAGCTGGAGGAAATTTAAAGGTGGGTTTGAAAGTCACTCTCTCAGCAGCGCAGAGGAGGCCAGAGTAGGCCGGCCTTCCATTCTGAACCCTGTAGCTCCTAGGGAGGCGGCCTGCCCGAGAGCTGAGCTTGCCCTCGCCTCCACCTTTGCCGCTAAGCCCAACCCAGGACGTCTGCACTCTGGGTTTTACTTATCTCTCTGACCAGCCTATATTTCTAAGTGAAGCTTTTGCCAATTCCTTGGGCACTATCAGTTACTCCAGGCTTGTAAAAGATCTTTAACAATGGAGAAACACTTAAAGCCTTAATAATGGCCCACATCAATTGTTTCCCCTTGTCAGCAGGATTCGAGAATGGAACCTCACCAGAGATCAATGCAAGCCTCCCCGGGCCTTCCAGGGAGCTTTTCTCGCAACCATGACCTTGACGTTTATGTGTAGTTATTTAATATTCATCCAAAGCATTCATACATTTGGCCCTTTACAGTAAATATAAATGTGCTGGAGAAATGGCAGTTATAGATCAGGAAGTGAAGGATGTCACGTTTGCACCGATGGGCAATTTCTCCCTCTGGAAAGCTTCTGCAATGCTGAAGATACTAACAGTTTAATATATTATCAGGAGCAATATTTTCTCCTTTGAATCCAGTGTATATGCCTTAAATAAATTAAACTACATGGTCAATAGTCTCTGCCATTCATTGCATTACTGGCTATTTCTTCTGCTCTTTGCTAGAGTAGCACCACACAAATCAGGATTATTAATACTAACAGAATCACTGAATTTTTAGAACTGGAATGATCCTCGGAGACCAACATCGCCCAGTCCCCTCTACCTCAAATGCAGACGCTGAGGCTGAGAGGTGACGTGACTTGCCTTGGGTCCCGTAACTGGCTGGGGGGTGGTTAGGATGAGAACTGGCCTGATGGCACGCTCTCTGGGCCATTTTTACCTCTGATACAAAAAATTAAAGGTCTCTTTTTCCTGAAAACTATAGGGAAGATTCTCCGGACGTAGCGGACAGTACTGTCTCTGAGCTGCCCTCACGCCGCCAAGTTCAGCCCCTGGGCACGGCCTCCTTGGAGCTGGGACCGCAGCGCCTGAGTCTGCCAGGGCCGCCCCGTCCCGGCTGTTCCATCGGGGCCCTGGGTGCAGCCTGCGGGAAAGCCGCCTCGCTGTGCCGAATGTGGTCCTGCCGTCACTAGACCTTTCAGCGACTTCTATTTTTAAAGGGGAGAAAGGTTTTCCAGAACTTCATATTCATTCTCCTCTGAGGTTTAACTCAAGGGTGACCCTTTTCCCTCAGTTATTAAAGTTAAAAACTAATACATTGGTTCTTAGCAAGAAGTCATGGACCAGAATCTAAATATAGTCTCTGTAACTATGCCTCAACCCCCCAAATTCTGATTTAATAGACCAAGGAAGAGACCTGGGTATGCGTATTTTGGGAAGAGCATGATGAGTGTGATTCGGGTGTTCACTCGGTTTGAGAGCCACTGGACCAGTGTGAGTTCAATAAAAATACAATCTGGGATCAACATATTGAATGAAGTTTTACACAGTGATGTGAGGCCGAACAGGAGAAAGACCTGCACTTAGGCTAAAGCTGATGGTATCTTCATTTTTACCCAAACCTGCTGTTGGATGTGAAAGCCATTATCTTGTAACTGTATGCACTGATGGCTGAAAGAGATACACAGAGGATGTGGTGGACTGATTGCTTGGCAGGCAGGCATCAGGCCTATTAAAAAATTTATGTGTCTTTCACTGCCCCCTAGTGGACGTTTAAGGAATATCACTGGGGCACACCCGCCCCAGCAACCCTCTGCACAATTTTGGCTCTTCTTAGCAGCAAGACACTCTATTTAGATGTTAAAAAGGCCTTAAGCACCACTACACAGCTGTGGCACTGTGAAGGTAAGATCACACTTTGGATGAATCCATCTCTAAAATGCCAGGGTTGGCCAAGGTCACCTTCAGTTTTCATATTTTCTGTCTTAAATATTTTTAAGTATTCTCCCTACTACATCGATTGGCCTACCTGTTTAAATTCTCTCAGTTTGCATAAACTTTTAAAATTTGAAGTAACATGAATATGAAATCCTGGAAACATACACCATAAAAAAATCAGTGATTTTTATATTTTTCATTGTGCTTTTTTGTATTTTCCAAAATTTCCATTAGGAAAAGAAATTAGTAGCAATAGCAGGCAGCAGCAAGTGACTCTAAATATAAAGATTTGTATATGGAACAGCTTTTGGTGAACAGATATTTGTACATCCTTGTTCATAGCAGCAGTGCTCATAATAGCCAAAGGTGGGAACAACCCAAGTGCCCCTCGGCAGGAGGATAGATAAACAAAACGTGGATGTACAGCCAATGGATTATCATTCAACCTTAAAAAGGAAGGAAATGTTGGCACCTGCTACATACAACACGGATGAATCTGGAGAACATTATGTTAAGTGAAATAAGTCGGTCGCCAAAGGACAAATGCGGTATGGCTCCACTTACATGAGATACCTAGAAGAGTCAAGTTCCTTGAGACAGAAAGTAGGATGGTGATCGCCAGGGACTAGGGCAGAGAGTTAGTGTTCGATGGGTAGCGTTTCAGTCTGGGAAGATAAAAAAGCTCTGGAGACGATGGCGGTGATGCTTGCACAACAGTATGAATGTGCCCAATGTCACTGAACCAGATACTTTAAAATGGTTAAGATGTTAGTAAGTTTTATGTTGTGCATATTCTCCCACAATTTTTTTAAAGTTGAAAAAAATTTAATTAAAAAAAATACCTTTTGGCGAGGTAGAAGGAGTACTGATGCAAAAGAGAGAAAATCTGGCTAATCCCAATTTAATCGGGTAATCTCTGACTGTGTGACCTTGAGACAGTCACCTCACCTCCCGGGCTTTGTTGCACTCACCTATAAAATAAAGGGGTCACACAAAGGTCCCTGGCTTCCGCCAGCAAACAGGTTCTGAACAGTGATTTATCTTAACATCACCACAGTTGAAGGCTGTGTTATGAACACTCAAGTGACATTCACCAGTGGAGAGTTCATCCTGAGCCGCTGTGATCGGTGCATCGGGATAATCTGCAAGAGCAGAGCCGAACGGGAGATTTATGATGCACTTGAGGAAGTCAGCTGGGCATCAGGGGGACACAAGCTAAAATATTTTGAGAGAGAGATTCAGCAACCAGAATACCAAACCACAAAGTATTATTAGTAGTGAGGGGCAGGTAAGTGGACAATTTCTGATGACATACCATGTCTCCAATACCCAGGAGGTCAAAGCCAGTTAGAGCCATCCTCTATCACTCAGCTGAATTTGTGTCCAATCTGAGCCACCGAGGCCCTTCACCTCATGGGCCCAGGGAGCAGATCTTAGTGAACACAAGCCTCTGGGTAGACAAACAGATGTCACAAAGCAGGTGAGGTTGAGAGGAAGGACTGGGCAGGTAAGATGCTGCTGCAGCGGGTTTTATAAAGGCAGGAGGGCATGGCATACGTCTGAGAAACTGCAAACAGTCCCGATGGCTGGAGGACAGAGGGCGGGTCAAGAGAGGAGTGCACTGGAAATCTCGCTGCTGGACCAGATCACTACAACAACAGCGACGTCAGCACGCACCAACTAGGCATTTACTACGGGTCATGTGCTGTTTGAAGCACTTTAGGCATACTATCTCACTCAACCCTCAACAACCCTGTTTTACAGGTAGGGAAATGAGGGCCCGCAGATGTTAAGTAACTTGCCAGGACGCCAAATCAGGATCTGAGTGCAGGCAGCCACGCCTGCGGCAAAGCGGCAAGACCTGGCACTGT